ACAAGGAAACAAAACAACTGCTTGGCGACGGGGCGGGCATCCGCATCGGGAGGCTCGCGGTGACGGAGGTGAACGAGCAGGGCGGCGTGATCTGATATTCCTTTGTGTTCATCAAGTGTTTCGGGATATTCGCATACGTAAACGTCGACCTGGAGGCAGGTTAAATAGTGCCCTGGAAGGCTGGTAAACATTCTGTATATAGTCGATGTATGTTGTTGGGCGCCGCTATAGTGAGTAGGCTCAGAGCAATCGATCTCCACCAACGCTGCAAACACCTCCCGCCAGGCAGGTGCTCTCTGTCGCCGCCGCTCGCGGAGGGCAGCATGCGGCTCAAGACGAGCTGGCGGCGCACTCTGCTGCGGCGGCTCCGCGTCGAGGTACAATCACCAGCAAGAACAAGGACGTACCGATCTGGGGCATGACGAGCGAGGGCGAAATCTTGCTTGATCCGATCGATGACCCTCCTGGTGACATCGCGAACGTTGAAGTGAGAGATGATGAAGTGTGGGTGGTGGGGGGGGGGGGGGGGGCAGGTTCAGCAGAGATCGGCCCGAGATCCGATCGGCAGGGCAAGACTCTCCCAGAGATCAAAATCTCGGACTCGCACTGGGCCATCTCATGAAATCCGCTCTCTACAGTCAGGGCGGGGAAGATCGTCGCAACACCACCTCGCCCACGCGAGTCAGTAAACGAGGCCTGCCCCTTGAAGAAGCGACGGGAGAAATTGAGGAAGCCGGAGAGGTCGCGAATGCTACCATGAGTCTCTTGCAACGCAATGATGGAATTGGGTCTGAGAAGAGGCGCGAGGTAGGAGAGCTTGGACGAGCGGGCGCGGGGAACGCGATGAAAGAGAGCACGAGCGTTCAAGGTGCAAAGCGAAAGACACCTGGCTTCGAGCGGCGCTCCACCAAGGACGCGGAACAGGTGGCTAAAGGCTCCGACTAGCACTGTCTGCAGCGCTGGCAAACGCATCCCGCAGAGCGGGCTCGATTCTACTCCTGTCGATGTTGAGCGCGCGGATGTTGGCACTCTCGTACTCCAAGGTCGGCGTGGAGTTGTCCGTCTTGGGTGTGATCTTGGCCAGCAGCTTCCACTGCGATGACGCAACGCCGGTGTGGCAATCCACGAAGAAGCGCATGCTCGGGCACAACTCCAGCAACGTTTGGCGAACGGTATTGGTGGCAATCTCGAGCTTGATCTGGCGGGGGTTCTTGTCGAACGACATGAACAGCTCGGTCGGGAGGTTGTTCCCGCTGTCCTGAATGTTGATGCGCCTGTAGTCGCCATTGGCCAACTTGAGGGCGCCCATGGCCCGGCACACCCGGCGAGCAGTCCAGCCAGTGGCGCCTTTGCACTTGATGGTGAAGCGCTTCGAGGCGGGGTCGCCTCGAAGCTGCCAGGAGTCCTCTTCCCAGATGGAGTCGGAAAGCCAAGGACTGATGGCCTGAAGAACTCGATCACGCGGCACCATATGGGGGCAGCGCACAATGATGATGGTGGGGTCGATATCTCTGTCAAGCTCCCTGTTGATGATGCCTTCGGCAGCGGCAGCAGATGTCTCGGTCGAGACAACGTTGACCTTGGCCTTGAGTGCGTCGAGCTCGGCACGGAGCGCGGCGACGGTCTGGTCTGTGTTGTCCAGGCGCCTCTCGACTTCCGTGAAGCGCTGCTGAATGGTCTGGTCGACGGAGGTGTAGTGGCGATCGACCGACCCGGTGAGCTGGGACATGGCGCGCTGCCCGGCGGCCACTGACTCCACGATGTGGGAGTTGGTGTCGTCCACATGCTTACGTAGAGCGTCGGCATCAGCAATTGATAGCGCACGAAGCGGCGAGCGAGAGCCCTCCCGCCGTTGGCGAGCGCTGCTGGGCTGGCCATCTCCATGAGATCCCATCGGCAACATGTATAGAAGAATGAGGGCTGCTCCCGCTGGGGAGGCAAAGAAAGCGAAAAGGAATGATCGGTGCCCGCCCCCGCTTGCACGGAGGTGCGCTCACTGGAGAGGGCTGCCCACTCGCGACCATAGGTCTTGAGCCAAAATGGCAACGGACCTCCTCATCATCATCGCACATCCCGAGGCACCAGAAACAATCCACGAGTCACAATATGATTAACATTGCATCAGCTGTCGGTGCAGAGGGCAAACGGAGAAGATTACACAACCCTATGTAGTTGGTATTCCTCAAGGTGTCTCTTGAGGGTTAGCTGTTTGCTTCTTCGGCTTTATCTGTAACTGCTGAGTCAAAACCCTCAACAGAGAAACCGAAAGAGGCAGCAACGTGTTCCTTCTCCCACCACTCCCCCCACACCGCCACATTAGGAACTGAGAAATCGGCCGTGGGCTTGCGCAGGCATAGCACAGACGCTTAAGGAGCAAGCATCGCTGCAATAGCCTGCGGAGTTGGTGCCCTCCAAGCCCCCGCAGTCCAACCACTGCATTGGCGAGACCCGCAGGGAAATAGCAATTTACGGGCACGGTTGCGCTGTCTGCGCAGCGTCTCGGAGGGTGGCGACACATTGCAGGGTTTGGCAGGGCTCAGGGCGGCTTCCCAAGCATAACCGCCACAAGCGGCACAAACAAGAACCGTGGGGCTCTTAGGTGGAGCGGGCGGCAGCCCAGAGGTAAGAAAAACCTCGGCTTGTCTAAACGCATGTCCTTGCAACGCCGCAAGGATGCTTAGCTCTTCTGACACTTCAGGAGCGACAATGGGCCTGCCTTTGCAACGCTTAGTCGAATTCCCTGGAGGCCTGCTAGAGAGGGGAGACCCACCCGCCTCCCCAGAGGTCGCCCGAGGAGGGAGGGGGAGGGCATCGTAGTCTTCACGCCCGGCAATCAAAACCTCTTGGATAGCAGCCCAGCGCGCAAATTCTTTGACAATATCTGCCAGGGCAGCAAGAGCATGCATACAGTCAGACGTGTCAGGATGCTGGCTAACTCCACGCCCCGCATACACATCTGCAGCACGATTACCATTCCACTCATACTCAGAGATGCATCCCTCGGCGACAGCTGAGAAGGGAAGGTGGGCTTTGACCTTCACTGCACTGATGGAAGGCAGTTTCCTGTGGATTTTTCCCACAGATGACATCGAGAATGCCAAAACTTGTCACTGACAGCATCAATGGTGCCCTGGCAGTCAATGTGAAAAACAGTTTCTCCTACTACCAATCCACGAGCCCCCTGCAAAACAGGAACATCCCCCCCATCACGCGCAGTCTGAAAAGGTCCTAGATCCCAAGACACCGCGCCACAGACTGCTGCTGACAGAGAACCGTTATCGTTGAGCTGGGTTAAGGCCCAACCCGCTCTGCGGGAGAGGGGGCAGGTGGCGTTAAGGCCAGACCCGTCAGTGAAAACATTGCCTGACAGGTACCCTGAGTCAGGCCGCTTTATCCAAACAGTATTGCACTCACTATCCCACAGAGGCCGATGCACAACACAACCTCTATGGGCATGGGGAAAATACCACAAGCCGCCTTCTCGAGATCCTGCCCCGACAGCTGCAACACAGACGCACAACGGAGCAGTCGCGGGCTACAGTACTTACCTCGGTCGGCGGCCCAATGTGGGCAAAGGAAGCGTCTGTGCCAAAGTGTTCCAGGCCTACTCTTACAAGCCTGGCGAAGTTCAGTGTCCGATTTCTTGTGGCGCGCTTGCTTGGCTTGGCACCAGTGTTGCTGAGAAATCAAAGAGCGCAAACTAGACTGGTGCCTAGCCGTCCAGGATTCCGACAGACGGCCCTCCAAGAGCCCAGCCAACGGCTTCCAGAAAATCGGGCGGGTCCAGCCTGGCGACTCCTCCATATTGCTAAGCGCAGCCACATCAGAAACATTACGAGCAGCTCGATGGGCCATCCAACCAACCTGCTTGGGAGCAAGCTTAGTGAGACAGATTTCCTCCCCAGTGTCAATGATGAGACGGTCGGCCGAGGGGGCGCTCCACCCAAGCTGTTGGACAGACAACAGATACACATGGGCAGGGCTAGCCGCCGAGGCCCACAAGTTGGAAGCCCTTTTCAAATCTCGAGCTTCCGAAACCAAAACAGCCTGCAAAATTCCTAGGGCTGGCCTACCTATCCAAACCGCACGCGCCCAGAAGCCTATGACCTGGGAGTGATAAATGCAGAAGGGGTCCATGACGCGGCCGAGCTTAGTCGTGGCCAACTAGAGGCCAATCGAGGCGCCCTTGTTATCCACATGCAAGCTGGCAACAGCTGCTCTACGCAGCAGGTGTAGTTGCCTCCCACTTAGTCCAGACACTCCAGAGCCCCATAAGGCCGTTGCCTGTGGTCCCGCACGCTGAGTGGATCCGATTTTAGCCACTGCCTGCTTCAACTTCAACATTTTGAAGGACCTCCGAAGTCCTTTTTAAAACCGATTCCCTGCCGTGTGCAGTACTCGTCTTTTAGCATCATGGGAGTCCGTGCCAAGGGAACGCGTGTGCTTTTTCCTCGCGAAGCCGAATTCCTTCCACTCCTGATTCAGAGCGTCCGCCAACTCGGAGTTGGAGGCAGGCAACGAAGTGAGTCTTGCTGGCCGCCAACACCAGCTCCAAACGCCTGTACCCAGAAGCAAGAAGGCGTCCAGCGCCTCCTAGTTGTGCAGCGACAAAGCGAGATGATCCTAGGCACTGTGCATGTACATCATCGACTACATTCCTGAGTAACACAGCTGGGAACTTATCAGCTATAGAGACCATGAGCCTGTAAAGCAGGACCTTGACTAGGGAGGTAGCCAGGGAGCATCCAGCCAGAACCGTTCCGTTAGCTTTGAACACCGGAGAGATGGCATCCATAAACGTAAGGCACCTGGGCCCCGAAAACAAGCTACAAGCCACGTAAATAAGCTTGAGGTTGATATCAACAGCTACAGCTTCTTCGAATAGCCGATAGTGCGAAATACGTTCGTAGAATTTCGAAAGGCAACGGACCTCCTCCTCCTCCTCCTCCTCCTCCTCCTCATCCTCCTCCCCCCCCCGCCTCGCTCCCTCGACGCGCTGCTCCTGCCGCGCTTCTCCACCTCCTTGCCGCTGGTGTGTTTTTTCTGCGCCCGCAGGGCCCAGCAGGCGAGCGAGGAACCGCGCAGCCACCTCGGCGGCCCGAGGCGAGGAGGGAGGAGGAGGAGGAGGAGGAGAAGGAGGAGGAGGAGGAGGGGGAGGAGGAGGAGGAGGAGGGGGAGGGGGAGGAGGGGGGGCAGCAAGGGGGGTAAGGCCGCCACCGCCGCCGTCGCCGGACGTTTCTGGCAGCCTCGCCGTCGCTGTCGTCGCCACTGGCGAAAAACAAAAAAAACCTAGAATCGTCGGTTTCGTCGGCTTCGTCGTCGGTTTCGTCATCGTCCTCCCTCCTCTGGAAGGAGGGAGAGAAAACATCCGCCGACCCCCGCTCGCTGGGGGTGAAAAGGCGTGTGAGACAGTTGGCTGTCCCCCTCCCCCTTTCCCCCACCCCTAGGGTCCAAAATACGATTCTGGTGGGGGGGGGGGCGAGGACGTCAACGCACCCCTGGGCCCTCCGGAGCCCCCAGAAAGCCCCAAGACAGCCCAACAGGGCCCAGACAGAGCGCCAAGACAGTCGAACAGAGCGTCATGACGGCCCACGATAGCCCCCCCCCACGACCCAAGATGGCTTCAAGATGGCCCGCAAGGCTCCCAAGACAGCCCGAAAGCGCCTCCAGAGGATCGCCGAGAGGGTCCAATAAGGCAAAATCCATTCATTTTCCTCAGATAACGTCCAGTTCTAACAAATGTGCATGATACATTTTGACAGCAAATACGACGGCCCAAGTGGCCCCAAAGATCCTTACAAGACGGCCCATAATGCCTACAAAAAGGCCCCAAGACGACCCAAGAGGGCCCAAAGACAGCCCCAGGGCCCCCCCAGCCCCAAGACGGCCCAAGAGCCCCTGGAGGACCCCAAGAGGGCTCCAAGAAAGCTCGAGAGGGGGAATACGAACTGACATTTCGAAACTTCCCCACCAAGATGGCCCCCGAGGGCCCTCCAAGAGGCCCCAAAAAGGCCTCCGAGGGCCCCCAGAGGCCCCCCACAACGTCCCAAAAAGGATCCCGGATGCCCCCGAGAGTTCTCCAAGAGGCCCCAGGCAGGCATCCTAAGATGCCCTCAGATTCATCCAGGAGGCTTCTGACCCAAGGTATAAGACCTTCCACGATCGTCTCGAACACTCACTCCTTGTGGGGGTCGGCGGAATGGCGTAAGCCACTTGACTAAACATAAGCCAAAGGAGCTCCGCGATGATTTCTTAGATCGGCGCTGGAGCCCCCTTGCGGCGCCTCCGGCGCCGCCCATTGCGCGCTCCGCGCGCCAGGGAGTGGGGGGCCCAAGGCCATCCAAGAAGTCCCCGCAGAGCTGCGAATGCTTCTGCTCATGCTGCCTTTCTTATTCGAGAGGAGGCGTGGGGGGGGGAAGGGGAGGGTTCGCCATCGCTCGGACGTCCACTATCCGTGCATGTTTCTTCGGCTTCGCGCGTGTGTGTTTCGCAAGATGGTCCAGGATGGTCCTCGAGGACCCTCGACGAGAAGAAAGACCGTCCGAACGATGCCAGAAGCCGAAAAATGCACGGCCTTGCCATCTCTCGGACGTCCATGCTCCGTGCACTTGTCGGCTTCGCGCGCTTCTGTTTCGTTAGATGGCTCAGGATGCTGCTCGAGGAATCTCGCCGTGGAAAAACAGTACACGTCCGAGCGATGCCAAGTCTTCGAGAGGAGGCGGGGGGGGCTTTCCATCGCTCGGACGTCCAACTTCCGTGCATGGTTCTTCTTCGCGCGATATTTGTTTTCGCAGGGTGATCCAGTATGCTCCTCGATGGCCCTCGCCGAGAAAAAATGCACACGTCCGAGCGATGCCGGAAACCGAAAACTATACCGGCTTGGCATTGCTCGGACGTCCATGCCCCGTGCACTTGTCGGCTCGGTGCGGCGCTTCTGTTTGAGACCGTTTATTCTTTGAATCGGCGATAACCCCGGTTATCCCAGGAGGGGGGGGGGGGAAGGAGGGGGCCGGCCGATAACCTAACCCTCGCGCTGTGGGCAGCCCTGCATCTGAGTCTGCCCGCGCCCCCCCCCTCCCGCGGACCTGCACAACCGGCAAGGTTAGGTTATCCCTGGGGGGCGGGGAGGCGGGGGGGCAAGCCTGATAACCCGGGTTGCCGCCCGACCCCGAAAGGAACAGTCTCCATCGCAGGATGACCCAGGAAGCTCCTCGAGGCATCTCGCCAGGGAAACATTGGCGGCGCGCAATAGGGGGTAGGGGGAGGGGGGAAGGCTTCTTAGAAGCACCCTGCTTCTTAGAAGGCCTCGGCCTTACGTCTATCGAGAAGGCCCGCGCCTTCTAAGAAGCAGGGGTGCTTCTAAGAAGCCTTCCCCCCTCCCCCCCACCCCCCTCTGCGCGTTGCCGAAAACAGCAGGCACGCGCCCGAGCGATGCCAAGGGGGTGGGGGCGGGGAGGGCGGCCGGCAGCAGGTGGGCTGCCCTTCCGCCCGCCTGGCGCGAGGGCCTCGGCGCGCCGCGCCCCCCCTTTCGGGGGGCCCACGGCGCCACGGGGCCGCCACTCGCCCGCCGCCGCCGCCTCTCTCTCTCTCTCTCTCTCTCTCTCTTTTTTTCTCTTTCTCTCTCTCTCTCTCTCCTCTCTCTCCTCTCTAACTCTTTCTCTCTCTCTCTCTCCAGCTCTCTCTCTCTCTCTCTCTCACTCTCTCTCTCTCTCTCTCTCTCTCTCCTCTCTAACTCTCTTTATTTCTCTCTACCTCTCTCTCTCTCTCTCTCTCTCTCCAGCTCTACAAGTACTCAACATGAATACTACTCTCCTCTCTCCCCCGTGCCTGTGGCGGAACCTGTCTCGGAGTGTGCGGCCCCCCGTCGCGCATGGTTTTCCACACAGGATGTCGGCGAGTTGGGTTTTCGCTAGTGTTGTTGTTTTCCAAAATGCTGCTCTCGCTGAGGCGCTGGCCTCATGTTCGGGCTTCCGCTCGTTCCGAATCGTGCTCCCGCTGCACCGCTGGCTTCATTTCCGCGCTTCCGCTCATTCTGAATCGTGCTCCCGCTGCAGCGCTGGCGTCATTATTTCCAGCGCCATGCCACGGCATGGCTTTCGGTCCTTCCACATGGGACCCCAAAACTAGAAAATGACCCCCGAAGCGACCATCGGAAGTGATTACACATTCGGTGCCGATTCGTTGATTTTTTAAGCCGCAGAGGCTCCCCCCCCGCTAAGCGTTGGGGCGTCAGGCGACGCGTTGATCTTCAACACCATGCTAAGCCATGTAATGCTACGCCCGGCTACGACATCCGACTGCGTGAATAGAGAGGAGATCTACGCCATGGTAAGGGATGGGAGGGAGGGGTAGGACGTCAGATATGACGCGAGCGCACCTAATTAGCTTGCCCTCCTTCCCTCCCTCTCCCTCTATCTCTCCATCTCTATCTTTCTCTGTCTCTGTCTCTCTCTCTCTCTCTCTCTGTCTCTGTCTCTGTCTCGCCCCCTCTCTCTCTCTGTCTCTCTCCCGCTCTCCCTCCCTCACTCCCTCTATCTCCCTCTATCTCTCTCCATCTCTCTCTCTCTCTCTCTGTCCCTTTCTCTGTCTCCGTCTCTATCCCTGTCTCTCTATCTCTCTCTCTCTCTCTCTCTATCTCTCTTTCTCTCTCTCTGTGTCTCTCTCCCACTGTCCCTCAGGTCCCACGGGTGACGCAGGTCTCATGGGCCCCGCGGGCCACAGAGGTCTCCCAGGACGCACAGGTCCCAGAAGTTTCTCTTGTCTGCTTGCGCACAGCATGATAGGGGTGGAATTCCAGGTCGGCTACGGCACGCGTCCGCAGATGAAGAAAAAACAGCGCTGTGGGAATGCATGGGAGGGAGCGATTGGATGTCAGATATGGCACGAGCGCACCTAGCTTGCCCGCTCTCCTTCCCTTCCTCCCTCTCTCTCCCCTCCTTCTATCTCCCTCTTTCTGTCTCTCTATGTCTCTCTCCCACTCTCTCTGTCTGGATGTCTGTCTGTCTCTCTCTCTCTCTCTCTCTCTCTCTCTCCTCGGGAGCGCAGATGTGGGTTAGGAGGCAACTCCTGGGAAGTCTTCGTAAGGTCGGGTTAAAGTCTCGGAAACCCGATGAAGTGGCAATTCTGCCGGATTAAGCCACATGAAGCCAAGGATGAAACCAGTCGGCGGAGTAAACAGGAATATGCTAGAGTAAGCTGGTGTTCGACCATGGATGTACCAGAGCCGATGCTGAATTTGGCCTCCCAGGAGTTGCATCATAAGTTGGTGTATGGCCAGAGGTGGGGCTAGAGGAACATCGCCCCTGACGGCACCTGGAGAAAGGGAAACATCGGCCTCGAGCCGGGCTCGCTCCGCAACTGCAGCCCCACCTTGGGCTACACCGTCCCCCTTTCTGCGTACCCCCCCCCCCCGAAACCTCCGTAGGCGCACCATATGGCCTCCCCCCCATTTTGCGCGAGATGCCGAGACTTCGAGCGGCCTGAGGTGCGGGGGGTCAGTGCGCATCCCCTCGCCGCGACAAAGGTACAGGTAACCGCTGCTTCCCGGACATCTCCCAAGGCGCGTTCTGACGAAGACTCCGAAGCGAATCCAGCCGTGGCGACGGGGCCTTCCAGGATGCCGAAAAAAGCGAAAACGGGGCAAGGGTCGCTGCATCGGTACACGTTCCTCCCCTACGAGCACGTGGGTGTGATACAAACGCATCGCTCCAACAGTGCGAACGCAGAGCGAAGGAACCAAGGGGCTCTGCTGGCCACGGCGAGCCTCGACCACGTGTAGGCTCCAAACCCTGATTCCAAGAGACGGCCGAAAACCATGGCACCAAAGGAGGACGAGGAGGAGGAAGAAGAAGAGGAGGGGGAGAAGGAGGAGGAGGAGGAGGAGGAATCATAGCACCAAAGGAGGAGGAAGAAGAAGAAGAAGAGGAGGCGGAGAAGGAGGAGGAGGAGGCCAGAGCCCAAGGTGATGCTTCTTCCAGCGTCTTGCCTGTGGCGCGGGCCCCTCTGCGTCGACTCCCGGTCCGCGGCTGCCCCGGCCGACCTGCCGCCAGAGAGCGGACGAGAGGGCGAGCAGGGGCCGCCTGGGGAAGGTCGCCACGTACAGCTTGGTCGTCACGACGTGCTCCTGCGCAGTGAGAGGCCCCACTCGGACGGGCGCTCCCGCCCCACTCTGCGAGAAAGCAACTCCTGAGAGGTCTGCGCAAGAGCTGCGAAGGGCTGCGGGGCCGGATCGAAGGGCCATCGGACAAGACTTGGCCCGAACCATTCAAAAGGGGTAAACAGACTTGATCGGGACTAAGACGGCGTAGACGGGATGATGCCCAAGCTGGGCCGATGCTCGGCCACGGATATACCAGCGCTGACGCTGCGAATCTCCTCTCCCAGGATTTGCACCCTAGACCATGTGCCCGTGCGGAGGGTGAGCTGACAGGACCTCTCTCACCTTCACGGGAACAACCTGCGCGAGGTGCAGTGTCATGCGATTGTGTTACGCAATGCGTTTACATGTGCAGGACTATGCGACGCAATACGCTGCAAGTGTATGCCGTACCACGACCTAGTACGATACGATGTACAAAGGCATGTTGGGACGCAGGCGGCTATGCTTCGCAACGCCTCACAAGACACGCCATTAGTGTGCCTTGGCGTGCGGTGATATGCTTGGCCATGTTCCGACACGCGCGTGCCATACATGAACAATGTGCAATCGCATGGCGTAATATGCTTCCATTGAGTTGGCAACGCCACATAATGCTAACCAACGACGTGCGATGGTGTGCTACAGATTGATTAAATTCGATTGCAAATTTTCCCCGCTGAGGCGCACTGCTGCCATACCACGACACGACAGCCGGGGTGCTGCGATGCATTGCAACGATGCGCTGCACCATGCTTCGCATTGCAGAGCGTGCCGTCGCATTGCACTGCATACGTTTTTCGTCGGCGGCGAGGCAGAGTTGGCTGCACCAGCGATAGAGCTAGACAGGGGCACCGAAAGGCGAAGTTGCCCGCGTGCAAGGAGTGGGACGAGGGCAGAGACGGCGGCCGCCGAGGGGGGGGAGAAGAAAAGGCCACTCAGAGATGGCAGAGTTCTCACCTGAATGTGCTGGCGCTCCAGCCCCGCCAGCGGGATCCATGGCAGCTGCCGGGCCGCGGCGCGGGCGAATGCCCTCGTCGAATAAAAAGACCTTGTATAATTCGGGTCGCGCCTGGCTCGCGCGGTGGCTCTGTGCCAGTCTCCGCGGGGCGGGGCGAGGGAGCAGCAGGACAAGGGATGAGGAAGGGAGGAGGGAGGAGGAGCGAAGGATGAGGGGGAGGAGGAGGAGGAGGAGAGGGATGATGAGGAGGAGGAGGAGGAGGAGGAGGAGGAGGAGGAGGAGGAAGAGAGGAGGAGGAGGAGGAGGAGGAGGAGGAGGAGCCAGGAAGAGGGGGGGAATGCGGAACGTAGGAGAAGCGTGTCGCTCCACTCCGCGGAGCGGGAGGCTGGGAAAGGCTCGGAACGTTGAAGCCTGGGGACCGGGACACGGACAGCGTGTCGCGCCGAAGCGTGGCGGGCCAGAGCCGACGGAGCGGCACGCGATCCAGAAGTCCCCAACCGTATCCACATCCACCGCCTGGGGAGCCGACGCCTTGGGATCCTATCGGGCGGCGGGGCATCATCGCCCCAGGAGGCCTCGATATGTCCAGACCCACCGCTGCCGAGGTCCCCGAAGACTGATCCCACGGGCGGTGGTGATGGATGATCGGGCGGGTGGCAATGGGGGGTAGAAGGGAGCCCTAAAGGGCCCCTTTAGGCTTTAGGGCCCTCTTCTTCACCCCCCATTGAGGTCACCTTAGACGAAGACAGGACGAGGATAACATAGAGTGAGGATAATTTGAAAATCTCTGAGGTCTGGCGGCTCTGGAGGACCTCTCAGGCGCCGCGGCCTTCTCGAAGCGTTCTGGAACGCTCTGAGAGCGTCCCGGAACGCTCTGGAACGGATTTATCCTCGTCCCAGCCCCGTCCGATCACCCCCCATGACCACCCACCCGAATGATTGATGCATCCTCGCCTCGGGCTGACGGTGCGATTGGCCCAGGATGCGCTCCGGGGGCTCCGGTGCATCTGCCGGCCCTCGCTCCTGGAGCCCGCGCGGAACGGCCAGGGGGCCTGGACATCTTGCAGCGCATCACTATAGTCGGACCTACAGTAGGCCAGAAAAACATCCACCAAGAACATGAGACCCTCCGCCAGCCAAAACCCAAAGGTACCCTCCCCTGGATGCACAAGAACGTCCAATAAACACGAATAACATTAGGGTAGCGTACCCGAACCGACCTCGATCTCAAACCTGGGCCCGACTGTACTACCCAGACTTATTGCTCCTCCGAGGTCCCTCTGTCCGCCAGGGGAATCTGACCACGGGACCTGCTCTCAAAGGCGGGACCTCCTCCCCCATGCGGACTTCTCCAGGAGGGCGCTCTCACTAGGATCTCGAGGCAGGTCCAGCCGTAACGGAAGGGCCCTCCAGGAGGCCCAAGGAGTGCGAACATGTAAACACACTCCTCCTGCTCCTCCTCGTCCGCATCCTCTTCATTATCCTATCCCTCCCCGCTCCCCCGTGCCCATCCAATCCCCTCCTCCCCCTCCTCCTCCTCGCACTGACGCTACTTGCTCGTGAGCTGATCCTGAACGCAAACATCCTCACTCCCACTCCTTCTCCTTCAACCCCCTTCCCAGCTCAACGGACGCGAGCATCTGTCTGGCTTCGCAATGCCAGTCCTCTGATATCCAGGCTGGTCCTGTGCTGGGCTCCGTCCCAGGTTGCAGGGGCTTCGTGCATTAGCTCCACCAGTGAGCGCGTGCGGCGTGTACCGCAGCGCTTGCTCGAGAGCTTGTGCTGAGAACGAGCCGCGCTCGTCTGTTCATCCTCCTCCCCCTCCTCCTCTGGTGAGGCTTCGGGCTGCGCGAAGACAGTCCCCCCCCATGTAGCCCTGGTTGGCCGTAAGAGGCCCCCACAAAAGTCTGCGGCGGTCTGGCTTACCACTCCTCCTCCTCATCCTCCTCCTCCTCGTCCTGGTCGTCCTCCTCCTCCTCCTCCTCCCCTCCTCCTCCCTCCTCCTCCTCCTCCTCCTCCTCCTCCTCATCATCATCATCATCATCATCATCATCATCATCATCATCATCATCAGCATCAGCATCATCATCATCATCATCATCAGCATCATCATCAGCATCATCATCATCATCATCAGCATAATCATCATCAGCATAATCAGCATCAGCATCATCACCATCATCAGCATCCTTATCATCAGCATCATGATCAACCGCATCATCAACAGCAGCATCATCATCAGCAGCATAATCATCTGCATCATCATCAGCATCACTCACATCCTCCTCCTCATCCTCATCCCCCCTCCTCCTCATATTCATAATCATACTCATACTCATACTGCTAATCATCCTCTTCCTCCTCATCATCATCACCCTCATCATCCTCATCTTCAACATCATCCTCATCATCCCCATCAACAACCCAACAACAGCAGCAGCAGCTTCAGCCTCCCCCCATCCTCCTCCTCGTGCCTCCCGCGGCTCCCCCTCCGAAGAGATCTCCTCCTCTGGCAGGCCGCGGTGCCCGTACATGCGGATGGCGCGTCCGCACTGCTGTATGAACATGCTCGGCGTGGTGGGCACGTCTGGGCGCGCGGGCTTTCGCTGGGGGAGCTGGGGGCAGACGGGGAAGGGCGCAATAATAACTCGGCACAGAGCCGCGCAGTGCGTTTCGAATGCGGAGTCAAGCGTGCGGCGGACGGGGGCAAGGGGGGGGGGAGCGGGGGCTAGGGCCCCTCATCCATGGCGCCGCCCCGCGCAACCCGAAGCCTTTCCCCAGGAGGGGAGGCGTTCTGTGTTTTGCAAAGGTAGGCTGCCGAAGCGACTGCAGAGCAGGAAAAGGTTACTACAACGGCGGGCACGCGGGGCGCTCGGAGGGAGGGAAGGGGGAGGGTTGGGGGAAGGAGCCAGGACTTGAACTAGGAGCGCGCCAGAGACGCAGAAAGGCGCCGCCAAGGATCTCCGGCGCAGATCCAAGGAATCCGCGCGGAACTCCGAAAGCTCGTGCCTGTGCAGATACTGGTGTCTCGATCGTTCTCTCTCCGCGTCGATCCTTCCTCCCTCGCCTCATCTCACTCAGGGTGCGGGTGGTCGGCCGTGAACAGGCGCGCTGCCGTGCCCCACACGGCGCGATGCGCCGCGGGGCTCCCGGCGGAAGTGGCGGCGGCCCGCCAGGGAGCGCGAGCCAGCCAGAACGAGGACGAGGACGACGACGAAGAGGACGAACAGAGCAGCGATGACGAGAAGGAGGAGGAAGGCAACGACGACAACGACGACGACGACGACGACCACCACCACCACCATCACCAAGACCGCTACAACGACGAGGTCGCGTGGAACTGTTGGCCAGGTCTGGGCTGATCCAAGAGCGGGTTGAGGCACGGGCGGCCCGTGCCCAACGCCTGGAGGTGTCGCGTCGCAAAGCGAGCGGAACTGGCGCTTCGAATTCGGAATCGTCGGAGCAGCTCGAAGTCTCCATAGTTAATGAACTAGCTCGGTTCTGTCAGACTTTGCCTGGGCTCGCGTGGCACTGACACATGCTTCGCCACACTGGTGAAGTGAAGAGAAGACCCCGACAGCGACGCCGAGGAGGACAAACAACGACGACGAGAATGAGGACCCAGACATGCGAGGCTTTGATGTGTTTCGGTGCGCGGTCCCCGCTGGGTTTGGGCGGCCCCAGGGCCGGGTCGGGGCCCCTGGGGGCCGAACATGGCCCAACAGCCTCCCGTCGTGATGTTCTCACAACGCGAGCGTGCATGGCGAGGCGATACGCAAACAAAAACAACCAGCGTAAACATAAACTGTCAAAGGTCCGCGCGGGTGTCTGGGATCGGCGAGGGGCCCCCACTCCCTGGCGCGCGGAGCGCGCCAGGACGGGCGCTGGAGGCGCCGCCCAGGGGGGGGGCTCCGGCGCGCCAATCCCAGGAAAGCAGCGCGGGGCTCCGCGCGGCAGCCCGCCGGCGCGCGCACTGCCGGCCTGACAGGAACGTCCGCCTCACGGAGAGGAAGCTCACCTGCCGCCGCGGCCGAGGGTTGAGGAGCAACCACAGAGGGGGGGGGACTGGCTCAGCGGGAAACAGAAATCTATCGAGCTGGAGTCAGCGATACATCGCCCACAGATCGGTGATGGACCGTCGAGTGCGAAATCGAGTATTCCTGGGCAGGGTGGGCTGTCGGGCCCATGTCGGCGATGAATGGGCGATTCGGGGTCGATGCATCGCCTCCCCTGAGCCTATCCCCCCCCTGACGTGGCCCCTGAGGGATGCGGCGCCCGCCTTTGCTGCTCCTGTCCTCCTCCCTCCTCCTTCCCTCCTCCTTTCCTCATTCCTTTCCGCCGTCACTCCTGCCCTCCTTCGCTTCCCTTGCCCGCTCGTCCTCCTTCTCTCCTCCTTCCCTCCTCCCTCCACTGAGATCCGACCGTTGTGCTCTTTTGTTTCACCTGGTGTGTTCGCCAAATTGCGTTCCCACCATGAACCGATCTGGCCAGGGACATGCAACAAGCAATGGGGTCTGAGTCTGAGGCTCCGACAGTGATGTCTCAAGATTCTGCATGATTGGTAACGTCGGATCTCAGGGTCGCCTACTCCCTCCGTTCTCCTAGATCCAGCGGGTCTGGAGGATAAGTCGGGCCGCGGTTTTTAAGCGCTACAGGACGCCCTGAGAGCATTCGGAAACGCTCTGGAGCGAGTGATCCCGGTCCTGGCCCCGCGAAACTCCTCCTCCTCCTCCTCCTCCTCCTCCTCCTCCTCCTCCTCCTCCTCCTCCGCCTGCCTCCTCCTCGTCCTCCTCTTCCTCCTCGTCCTCCTCCTCCTCCTCCTGGGCCTCGCGCCACCGAACAGGGGCCCCGCTCCGATACCCCGCCCTCTGGGAGGGGGAAGGAGAGAAGAGTGGGGATTGCATGATCAGTCAGCATCGTGTCGCCAGGATCGGAACGTGCACCGGACCGGGCCGCACCGGCATGGAATCGATACCAAAGCGCATCGGCTGCGCCAAGATTCACAGCACCGTCATGAAAACATCGTGCCGCAGCGGATCGTCGGAATTTCGGGATCGAAATATTTCAAATATCGAGCCAGCCGGCGTCGATATCGAATCGGATCGATCGCATCGAAATTCACCCTGGAGACAGGGAGGAGGCCGTCCCCCTTCACCCCGACCATGCCCCACCTGCTCCTGCTTATCCTCCTCCTGTTACTCCTGCTAACGCTTCCCCCGATCAACCCGCTCCCCCCTATTATCAGCCTGATCATCCTCCTCCTCATCCTCCTATTCCATCTCCTCCTCATCATCATCACCATCAGCATCATCATCACAATACCACCACCACCACCATCATCAACATCATCATCAGCATCATCATCAGCATCATCACAATCGTAACCATCATCATCATCATCAGCATCATCATCATCAGCATCATCAGCAGCATCATCGTCATCGTCATCTTCACCAGCATCAGCACCATCATCACCACCACCATGATCATCATCATCCTCCGCCACCATGATCATCCTCATCCTCATCCTCATCCTGATCAGCATCATCAACATCAACATTATCATCAACATCATCATCATCACCACCATCATCACCATCATCATCTGTCTCATCCTTCCCCCCTTCTTCTCCTCGTCCTCCTCATTCGCCTCACATTCCTGCTCCTCCCCCGTCTCCCTCTCCTTCTCGTCGCCGTCGTCATCCTCCTCCTCCATCCCTCCTTCCCGACATCCTCCCTTCCTCCTCCTCCTCCTCCTCCTCCTCCTCCTCCTCCCTCCCTCCCTCCCTCCCTCCCTCCCTCCCTCCCTCCCTTCCTTCTCCTCCTCCTCCTCCTCCTCCTCCTCCTCCTCCTCCTCCCTTCCTCCTCTTCCTCCTCCTCCCTTCCTCCTCTTCCTCCTCCTCCTCGTCCACCTGCGCCACGCCTCGTTCCTGAAGTGCTTCCATTTCCCCCTCCACCCCCCCCCGCCCCACTGCGTTCGTTTTGCGCGGGCGACCCCCCCACAGGGGCGGACAGAGCACGACGCCACGGAGAGAGACCGTGTAACAGAGAGGAAGAGAGGGGGACAGGGAGTCAGAAAAACCAGAGTCACAGCAAGAGACTGATAGGGATGGATGGAGGGAGGGAGGGACAGGGAGGGAGAGAGAGAGAGATGAGAGATAGGGAGGGAGATAAAGAGAGGGACGTACAAAAAGAGTAAGAGAGAAGCGAGAAACACAGAGAGAGGGAGAGACGCACAGAAAGACAGAGAGAGAGGGAACAACAAACAAGAGAGATCGGTATACTGAGAGACGGATTCGAAAAAGAGAGGGATAGAGAGGGAGAGGGTGAGAGAAAGAGGGAGAGAAAGACGGGAACGATATACAAACATGTGTATATACATATTTATATATAAGCATCATATGTATACGCATGGACAAGGAGAGAAGATGTATACACCCCCACGGGCCCACTCCTGTGACAGGTTCCGGCCAAACTTCAGATATGGTCCCCCCCGACCCAAGATAACTACTATATTCATCGAACAAATATCGAACAACAAAAAACCGGACAGCCCGGACACCCCTCGGACAACCACGACATGGTATGTATGATAATGAGGTGCGCACGTGCTGACAAGACAACGCGGCCCGGACAACCCATTGGACAACCCCACAATAATGCGGACACCCCCCCGGACAACCCCCTTTGGAAGAGCATCCCGTGGATTGTCTCCATAATACAGAATACCAACAGCGATTGGAGGGACGAGAAAACGTATGCTGCATGCCGAATTGCTAAAGTTTGTATGTGTTATATACATATCGTGGTATATGGTTATGGCCATGTGTACACAGTTGTGTGGGTAAGTATACGCGTGAGTGGAGGGGTGTACTGTGGGAGAAGATGGAGGGGGGAGGGGGGAGGCCGGAGGCGGGGGAAGAGCGGGAGAAGAACTCATGTGATATGTATGGTGCGGGCGGCGGAACGGGTTAGGAGAGAGACCCTCTTCGCCCCGAGGAGACATCTGGGACCTCCCAGGCCTGCTCCGGCTGCGACCCATGGGCGTCTGGCACCCCCGGGGGGGGGGAGCACACGACACCACGAGCCACTCCCCCGGGGAAGGAGGGGAGGAGGGAGGGAGGGGGAGGAGCGAGGGAGGAGGGGGGAGGAGGCAGAGATGGCGGAGGGCGAGGCCAGGAAGGGAGAGACGGACGAGGGAGGCGGACGAAGAGGGGCTGTCGAATGCAGCGAGAATGCTCCTTCGAAACGTCATCTTCCTGTTCCCTCTCCATCCGCTCTTCTTTATCCTTGTCCAGGTGGTCCTCATCACCGTTCTCGTGATCCCCATCCTCGATTTCGTTCTCGTCTTCGTCCCCCCCCTCCTACTCATCGTCGTCCTCCTCATTCCCCTGCCTCCTCGTGCGCTTGTCTCCACCTCACTCTGGGATGAAGTAATCGTGCGCGGCACAGTTACCTTCGCACCAGCCAGACATCATACTCGACCGCAACACCTTCCACAACCCTCCCCCTAAAAACCCGCAATCCAATGCCAAGTGACACGCAACGCCTGGCTACGGGAAACAGC